GGCAATCATGGTTGTCATGCCCCTACGATGGAAATCGTTTCGGTTTTCAAAGGATGGACGACAAGGTTAAGGATGGACTAGTTCTAAGTGTCGTTTGGTGTTGAATAGACAATTAGAGTAGTTTAAGACTTTGTTTTTCCTTTGACCGTACTATTAAGGGGGGTACGGACTAGTAGCTTGACCTAGGTGAGTCTAGTGGGTTAGGTGTTGTAAACACTTGTCAAATTTAGCACTAGGTAGCTCCTAAGTAGCCCTAAGACCAATTGGAGCAAATTTCATTCACATATGATTGCGGGTTGGAAGTCAATGGAGGGTCAAATGTTGACTGGACGCTGGTTCTGGTGTGAGCGGACGCTGGCGCAGAGTCCGATCAGTTCATTTGATCAAGGAGAAGTCGTCTGGTTGCGACCGAACGCTGAGTGAAATGTGACCGGACGCTGGGTGTCAGAGTCCGATCAACTCTAGTAAGGTTCTAAAGAGGGAGAATCCTGATCAAACGCGTCCGGTCAGTGCTGACCAGACGCTGGTCAGGTTCTAGCTACTAACCTAACGCTGAGCAGCAAAGTGACTGGACGCTGGGTGCCAGAGTCCAGTCAGCATCAGTAAGGTTCCAGAGAGAAGTTTTTGTGACCGAACATGTCCGGTCAGTGCTGATCGGACGCAGGTCAGAGTCCGGTCACAACTTAATGGCTCAGTGGCGGGTAGAACTGACCGGAGCGTCCGATCACCTTGACCGGAGCGTCCGGTCACCCCGCAGAGGGGTTATAAATACTTCCTCTATTCACTCAAGGGAGTACTTTTGCTCATTTCAACAGCTGAGAAACACCCTTGAGAGTGCCAAGGAGAGCAAGGTCCTAGTGAGTTGATTGAGATTTGAGAATCCAAGAGAGAGGCCTCATTAGTGAAAAGAGAGTAGCAAGTGTGCATCCACCCTTCTCATTAGGCTTGTTGTGGTCAAGTGAGAATTCTTGCTTGTTACTCTTGATGATCAGCATCACCTAGACGGCTTGGTGGTGATTGGGAGTTTGGTGATCATCTGGTAGAGCTTGTGGATGACCCAACTCAAGTTGTGAGCAGTTGTGGGTGATTCACCGCGACGGAGTGTCGAAGAATCAACCCGTAGAGAGCACTTGATCTTTGCGCGAATCAAGGGGGAGCTACACCTTTACGCGGGTGCTCCAATGTGGACTAGTGGGGAGTGGCGACTCTCCGATACCTCGGCAAAACATCGCCGCATTCCTCCTTCTCTCTTTACTTTAAGCATTTACTTTGAGCAATTCCCGGTCAACTCCAGTAAGGTTCCAGAGAGGGAGAATCCTGATCAAACGCGTTCGGTCAGTGCTGACCAGACGCTGGTCAGGTTCTGGCTACTGACCGAACGCTGAGCAGCAAAGTGACTGGACGCTGGGTGCCAGAGTTCGGTCAGCATCAGTAAGGTTCTAGAGAGAAGTTTTTGTGACCGGACACGTCCGGTCTGTGCTGACCGGACGCAGGTCAGAGTCTGGTCACAACTTAACGGCTCAGTGGCGGGTAGAACTGACCGGAGCGTCCGGTTACCTTGACCAGACCGGTCACCCCGCAGAGGCACATAACGGTTCGTTTTGAATGAGGGGTTATAAATACTTCCTGTATTCACTCAAGGGAGTACTTTTGCTCATTTCAATAGCTGAGAAACACCCTTGAGAGTGCCAAGAAGAGCAAGGTCCTAGTAAGGTGATTGAGATTTGAGAATTCAAGAGAGAGGCCTCGTTAGTGAAAAGAGAGTAGCAAGTGTGTATCCACCCTTCTCATTAGGCTTGTTATGGTCAAGTGAAAATTCTTGCTTGTTACTCTTGGTGATTGCCATCACTAGACGGCTTGGTGGTGATTGAGAGTTTGGTGATCATCTGGCAGAGCTCGTGGATGACCCAACTCAAGTTGTGAGCAGTTGTGGGTGATTCACCGTGACAGAGTATCGAAGAATCAACCCGTAGAGAGCACTTGATCCTTGCGCAGATCAAAGGAGATCTACACCTTTGCGCGGGTGCTCTAACGAGGACTAGTGGGGAGTGGCGACTCTCCGATACCTCGGCAAAACATCACCGCATTCCTCCTTCTCTCTTTACTTTAAGCATTTACTTTGAGCAATTCCCGGTCAACTCCAGTAAGGTTCCAGAGAGGGACAATCCTGATCAAACGCGTTCGGTCAAGTCTTGACGAGACATTGGTCGAGTTCAGCTCTTGACGAAACGCCGAGCAAAGAAAGTGATCGGACGCCAAAAGCGAGTCCGGTCAGCATCAGTAAGGTTCTAGAGAGAAGTTTTTGTGACCGGACACGTCCGGTCTGTGCTGACTAGACGTAGGTCAGAGTCCGGTCACAACTTAATGGATCAGTGGTAGGTAGAACTGACCGGAGCGTCCGGTCACCTTGACCGGACCAGTCACCCCGCAGAGGCACATAATGGTTCGTTTTGAATGAGGGGTTATAAATACTTCCTCTATTCACTCAAGGGAGTACTTTTGCTTATTTCAACAGATGAGAAACACCCTTGAGAGTGCTAAGGAGAGCAAGGTCCTAGTAAGGTGATTGAGATTTGAGAATCCAAGAGAGAGGCCTCGTTAGTGAAAAGAGTGTAGCAAGTGTGCATCCACCCTTCTCATTAGGCTTGTTGTGGTCAAGTGAAAATTCTTGCTTGTTACTCTTGGTGATCGCCATCTCTAGACGGCTTGGTGGTGATTGGGAGTTTGGTGATCATCTGGCAGAGCTTGTGGATGACCCAACTCAAGTTGTGAGCAGTTGTGGGTGATTCACCGTGACGGAGTGTCGAAGAATCAACCCGTAGAGAGCACTTGATCCTTGCGCAGATCAAAGGAGATCTACACCTTTGCGCGGGTGCTCTAACGAGGACTAGTGGGGAGTGGCGACTCTCCGATACCTCGGCAAAACATCACCGCATTCCTCCTTCTCTCTTTACTTTAAGCATTTACTTTGAGCAATTCCCGGTCAACTCCAGTAAGGTTCTAGAGAGGGAGAATCCTGATCAACGCGTTGATCAAGTCTTGACGACCGACGACGAGTCGGGTTCAGTTCTCTTGACCGATCAACGCCGAAAGCAAAGTGTGATCGGACGCTGGGTGCCAGAGTCCGGTCAGCATCAGTAAGGTTCTAGAGAGAAGTTTTTGTGACCGGACACGTCCGGTTTGTGCTGACCGGACGCAGGTCAGAGTCCGGTCACAAATTAACGGCTCAGTGGCAGGTAGAACTGACCGGAGCGTCCGGTCACCCCGCAGAGGCACATAACGGTTCGTTTTGAATGAGGGGTTATAAATACTTCCTGTATTCACTCAAGGGAGTACTTTTGCTCATTTCAATAGCTGAGAAACACCCTTGAGAGTGCCAAGAAGAGCAAGGTCCTAGTAAGGTGATTGAGATTTGAGAATTCAAGAGAGAGGCCTCGTTAGTGAAAAGAGAGTAGCAAGTGTGTATCCACCCTTCTCATTAGGCTTGTTATGGTCAAGTGAAAATTCTTGCTTGTTACTTTTGGTGATTGCCATCACTAGACGGCTTGGTGGTGATTGAGAGTTTGGTGATCATCTGGCAGAGCTCGTGGATGACCCAACTCAAGTTGTGAGCAGTTGTGGGTGATTCACCGTGACGAGTATCGAAGAATCAACCCGTAGAGAGCACTTGATCCTTGCGCGGATCAAGGGGGAGCTACACCTTTGCGCGGGTGCTCCAACGAGGACTAGTGGGGAGTGGCGACTCTCCGATACCTCGGCAAAACATCGCCGTATTCCTCCTTCTCTCTTTACTTTAAGCATTTACTTTGAACAATTCAATTCGTGTCTTTACATTCATAGAATTGCCATGCTAGAGTAGGATTAGAACTTATGGTGCTAAACTTTTGTGCGGTAGAACATTAGAAACACATTCTAGGCACAAGAGGTGAAGTGGGCTAAGTGTAGGGTTTAATTATTGCAAAGAATTTTAGAATTAGCCTAATTCACCCCCCTCTTGGTCATCTTGATCCTTTCAGCTAGTATGAATGAATTCAGGGCGACAGTAAAGCAACATACTATAAAGGGACAATTCGAGCTAGAGATAGAAATCCTGGAAACCTTTGATATATTTTTTTTAATCTTTACATCTCTCTTTCTCTCACATTGAACATTTCAAGTATCTTTTTAGCCAAATTCAATTGATCATGGAGGGTGGGGAGCAATAGTGGCCCTGGTCCGGTGATGAAGAAGTCAATTGGGACTAAGCATGGAAAGTCGAGCAGGAACAAGTGAGCAAATGAGTACCCTACCATGGCCAAGAAATTCTCCAGCAAAGAGGGATGTGAAGATAAAATTGTTTGGCACTCTAGTAATGCTTATTTGCCTCCATGACGCATGTAAGAGCCTGTATGGATGCTATGAACTGGATAGTCTGTGAACTGTTTTGTCACATTCGCTGCTCATTGTACATGCTGTTATTACCAATGCTTATATTATACCGTTTCCGGAGAAATGGTAAAATTTCATTGTTATAAATGTTGCACATAGTTTACACTTGTGGCATTTTCATGGCAGGTGATATCAAACATGAAGCCTGCGTATTCGAGAAAAAGATATCAAACATGAAGCACCCTAAATGCTCCTTGAACCCAATCCACTAGCAAAAAACCCTCTAACTAGTACACGAAAACAAAGATTTCCCTGTATTTAATAGTTAAATACCAGCAATGTACATGAAAATGAAGAAATGTTAACAAACTGTGTACTGGCCAGGCTGACTTACTTCAATTGCCCAACTATCAGCAAACATGAGGTATTCACATGGAAGCATCTCCACTTGGCATCTATCTTCCTAAATATGCCTAGCGAAATAGAATGCATAAACTCTGTTGGAAATCTCATGGAACAACTAATTAGGTTCCCTCCTATTCTTCAACACTTCAGATGGTTGTTTCACATGCACACCCATCTCACTGAGCAGTGAAAGCATCACAGAATTCTGTTGGTATGAAATATCATCTTCAGCAAATCCCCACATCTTTCTCCACTACCTTCTCCTTCATCACCTTCCTTACTTTTTCAACATCATCCCATCTGTCTTCCGCGGCATAAATGTTTGACAGAAACACATAGGAGCTGAACTCTGTTGGCTTCATTTCAATCAGCTTAGTTCCAATAAACTCTCCAAGTTGGGAGCTGTCCTGAGTTCGAGAGGCTGATATCAGGGCACCCCATAATGCAGGTGACACCTTTGCCTGCAAATTCTTGATGAGCTTGTCTGAGTCTCTGAGCAGCCCAGCACGACCAAGGAGATCCATCATACAGCCAAAGTGCTCAGCCTTGGGCTCCATATTGTAGAACCTGACCATCCTGTCAAAACACCACCAGCCTTCAAGCACCAAGCCTCCATGGGCACAGGAGCTCAAGATGCAGATGAAAGTCGTCTCATTTGGCTGAGGCCCATTCTTCTCCATCTCCATGAACAACTCAAGGGCCTTCTCACTGTGCCCATGCAACCCATAGCCAATGATCATTGAGTTCCAGGATGCAACACTCTTTTCGATCATCGAATCAAATATCTCCTTTGCTGTCCCCATCACCCCACACTTGGCATACATTGTCAGCATAGCAGTAAGAAGTAGTACGTCAGGAAGAAGTCTCTCCCACTTCTCACGAACCAAGTGATGCACCCACCTTCCCCTCTCAAGATCACCCAGGTTCCCACAGGCTGTCAAAATGCTCACAAATGTCTTCTCATTTGGTTTGCTTTCCCCCACAGCCATCATCGCATCAAACAGATTCAAACACTCACGCCAGTCCTTCACCTTTGCGTATAGCGCAAAAATGACATTCCATGACACCGTGCTCCTTCTCGGCATGCCATCGAAAACCATTCTTGCCATCTGAATGTCCCCAGTCTGGGCGCACCCGTCCAGTATCGAGTTCCATGACACAACATCCCTCACAGGCATACATCAAACATCTTCTTGGCGTTCTCCATGTCCCCGCGCCGAGTATACCCAGCAAGCATTGAGTTCCATGTAACCACGTCCCTCTCGGGCATTCCATCAAACAGCTCCCTGGCGTTGTCCATATCCCCCTCCGCCACGTACCCAGACAACATGGAATTGTACGTGACGAGATCCCGCTCAGGCATTTCATCGAACAGGCGCCGCGCCGCCGGGAGGAGGCCCATGCGGAGGCAGGAGCGGAGGAGGGTGTTCCAGGTCACGGTGTCGGGGCGGGGGATGTCGGCGAGGAGGGCGCGCGCGGAGGCCGTGGAGCCGTGGGAGAGGTAGAGCGAGAGGAGGGAGTTGGCGAGGCGGAGGTCAGAGGGGAGGTGGCCGGAGGACACGGCGAGGGCGTGGAGCGCGCAGGCGTCGGGGAGGGAGTGGGCGCGGTGGTTCTTGGCGGAGGAGAGGAGAAGGAGCGTGAGGTGGTCGGGCGGGAGGAGGCGGAGGACGGCGGGGAGGCGGCGGGCGGAGACATGCGGGAGGAAGGAATTGAGGAGGCGGGAGGCGAGCGCGGGGTGGGAGGAGGAGAGCCCGGAGGTGAGGACCACTGCCATGGACTGGAGGAGCAGGTGGCGCGAAGTGGTCGGCCCAGCTGCGGCGCGGAGGCGCGGCAGCAGGGCGGTGATCGCCGGCGGTGAGCGGCGGCGCGTGTGGCCCGGTGTTGGGGAAGGCATCCGAGGTTGTGGCGGGAATCGGAGCTGGGAATGTTTGTACTGTATTTGATACGCGAAATGAAACATCGGAGTGAACAAGAGCATGCCCACAGTAACTGGGGTGCGCCATTCGGTTATAAAAAAACCGGGTTGAATAATTTAGGTTTTAAGAAATTTGGGTTTCCAAATTTGTCAATAACTATATGATATCCCGCGTTTTACCGCGGGGATTTTGTGGAAAGATATTTGTGGATAATTCTTCTGCACTAAAATTGAAGTGTTAGGACTTAGTGTAACAAATTTCAAAGTTTCTATAGAAATAAAAATATAATTATTACTTGTACGGTATAGAACTAAATAGAATCCATTCAAAAGGAGCGAAGTTATATTCACGAATATATATCACTGGATCATCGTGAAAGAAGTACCGATGAGGCATCTCATCGTAATAACAATATTGCAAATTTTATGCAGTAAGAAGGCTGCATGCATTGTAGGCGATATCCTGCATGTGGTGACAAAAAAAAAAATATTATTTGAATGGTTAAATCTGCGTACTACTCAAGCCAGCTATATCTATTTAATTTTTACTATAAAAAAAGGAGTTGTAGCGCCCTCTTTTTTAAGGTGACTCCACCCCTACAAATGGTGTCTAAACCAGCCGCTCCTACAAAAGCTGCTGGCATAGATGCCGAATAGTAAAAATTAAGCACTAAAATTTGAATTTTTTCAAACGATCTCAGATGGAGAAATGACCAAAATAAAAGTTGTAGATCTTGAACAATTATGAAATTTTGTTGTTTACAACTTTTTCATTTGAAATCATTTAGTGCTTCAAAATACTGTTTGAAATTAAATTTTGAAATTATCCAAGAATTATAATTTCTTTTTTTAATCTCTGGCTAAAACTTATAACTAGTCTTTCTCCCTCATGCTAACTCCAAACTTGATGATTTTTTTCCTAAAATTTTCTAAAATCATGTTCTATTAATTTATTATATTGTTACAACTATTATTTTGTACATCTTTTCATATGACGGTGTTTGATCTATTTAAATTTTGAATTTCAAAAAGTGGCAACTTCAAACGTTATTTTGAAATATTAAATGATTTTAGCTAAAAAAGTCATGAACATAAAAGTTGTAGAACTCATCAAGATCTACAACTTTTATTTTGTCCATTTTTCTATCCGATGAAGTGGTAATAACATTGTTCATAAAATTTACATATCGATATGTGAAATTTATGAACAATGTTACTATCACTATGTTGGATGAAAAAAAATAAAAATAAAAGTCGTAGATCTTGAAAAGTTATAAAACTTTGTAATTGACAACTTTTTTTATTTTAAATCATCTTGTCAAGAAAAACCACGTTTAAATTTCTGAAATTTGAAATTTGTATTTTTCAAACAACCTCGAATGGAGAAACAAGCGAAATAAAAATTATAGATCTGAAAAAGTTATGAAACGTTATAGTTGACAACTTTTTGATTTGAAATCATCTTGTCAAGGACAACTACTGAAAGGATCAAGATGCCCAAGAGGAGGTGTATTGGGCTAATTCTAATTTTTTGCAATAATTAAGCCCTACACTTAGCCCATTTCACCTATTGTGTCTAGAAAGTGTTTCTATTGTTCTTTCATACAAAAGTTTTGCACCCTAGATTCTGATCCTACTCTAGCATGATAATTGTAGGAATGTAAATACATGAAATGAGTTGCTCAAATATAAATGCTCAAAATAAAGAGAAGAAAAGGAACACGACAATGTTTTCCTGAGGTATCGAAGAGTCACTACTCCCCACTGGTCCTTGTTGGAGCACCCGCGTAAGGGTGTAGCTCCCCCTTGGTTCACGCAAAGATCAAGTGCTCTCTACGGGCTGATTCTTTGACACTCCATCACGGTGAATCGCCCACAACCGCTCACAACATGACTTGGGTCATCCACAAGCTCCACGGGATGATCACCATGCTCCCAACCACCAAGCCATCTAGTTGATGGCGATCACCAAGAGTAATAAGCACAAACTCTCACTTGACCAAGACAAGCCTAATGAGAAAGGTGGATGCACACTTGCTACTCCCTATGCACTAATGAGGTCCTTAATCTTGGATTATCAAATCTCAATCACCCCACTAGGCTCTTGCTCTCTTTGCACTCCAAAGGTGTTTCTCAGCTGAACAAATGGGCAAGAGACCTCAAATGGACGAGTGGGATATGCATTTATACCCCCATTCAAAACATAACGGTTGAGGTCCAACTCAGCAAGTATCGGGATGACTGGACGCCCCGGTCAAGGTGACCGGACGCACCGGTCAGTGTAATACGTTAGTGTGTCAGAAAGAGCCGTTTGCTCTGACCGGACACTATCCTGCGTCCGGTCAGCACCCACCGGACGCGTCAGGTCATCAAAAATCCTTTCTGGAACCTTACTGTTGTTGACCGGACGCTAGCATCTAGAGTCCGGTCATTTCTCTGTTCAGCGTCTAGTCCGTGGTCAACAGCCTGTCCATGCTGCTACAGATACGGCTAGCGCCGCGTCCGGTGAGCACTGGTGTCTAGCGTCCGGTCGCGCTCTGACTGCTGCTGCCGATCAAATGAACTGACCGGACTCTCCAAGCTGCGTTCGGTCACAACCAAACCAGCATTCGGTCAGTCATTTGACTCTCCATATACTTTCAATTCGAAATTTTTTGTGAATAAAGTTGACTTCTATCGATCTTAGGGCTATTCCTGAGCTACCTAGTGCTAAGTTTGACAAGTGTGCACCACACCTAATCCATTAGACTCACCTAGGTTAAGCTACTAGTCCATACCCCCCTTAATTATACGGCCAAAGGGAAACCAAAGTACTAAACTACTCTAAGTGTCTCTCCAACACCAAACGACACTTAGAACTAGTCCGTCCTTAACCTTGTCGTCCATCATTTGAAAACCGAAACAATTTCCATTGACAGGGGCATGACAACCATGATTGCCCAATCAATTTCTATTACTATGATATAACTCAAATTACCTCTGTAAAACACACGTTAGTCATAGTAATCTAGTGTTGTCATTAATCACCAAAACCCAACTAAGGGCCTAGATGCTTTCAACTACGATTGAATTTCCAAAAATTTGAAATTTTAATTTTTTAAACGATCTCGGATGGATAAACAGTAAAATCAAAAGTTGAAGATCTCGAAAAGTTATGAAACTTTATAGTTGACAAATTTTTTATTTGAAATCATCTTGTTAAGGAAAACTACGTTTGAATTTTTTAAATTTGAAATTCAAATTTTGTAAACGACCTCAGATGGAGAAACTACCAAAATAAAAGTTGTAGATCTCAAAAAGTTATGAAACTTTGTAGTTGATAACTTTTTCATTTGAATTCGTTTAGGGCTTCAAACAATTAATTTAAACTCAGTTTAGAATAATACGTGGGGAATCAAAATTCAATATAGACACAAGTGAGTGTGAGGTGTAGTGGTAGAGGAGGGTACGCGCGAGGGGGAGGTCGTAGGTTCGAATCCCCCACAGCCATGAAGCGCACGATTTTCACGCGAAAAAACACGACTTGTGACTTTGGCGGAGTGTGTGGCTGACCGGTGGGGGCCTCCCTAGGTTAAAAAAATTTTAGCCGCCCCTAAAAAATCGATTTGTAGGGACGGTTGGTTAGCCGCCCTTACAAATCGCTGATTTGTAGCCACCCGTTCGTAGGGGCGGCTGGCAAAACCACCCCTACAAAGAGTCACAAGCCGCCCCTACAAAGGATGGTTGGCGTAGTGTTTTATGTTCAGCTCAGTTGCATACAAATAATCAGATAGGATATGATGTTGTATCTTCATTCATGGATCATGATACATGGGCCTTGTGGAAATATTGGCCCCATTCGCTTTGCTGAAAAAATAAACTAAAACATTGTTCCGGCTGAAAAAACAAGCTGAAAAGTATGGATTATAAGACACGCGAACAAGTTGATTGTCCTTGTATGTGTGATGTGACGTACACTAATTGAATTAGAATAAGTGTTTACGGTAATGCATAACGTAAATGAGATGACAGTTTGTGTACCTAGTGACCAACGAAGCACCAACTCTGCAGAAATGCCCTTGTTTGCAAATCGTCGAGCACAACAGCGCAATCGCCAAATCATGATCTGACAAATTGCAGACATTAACCTTAGGGATAGGAGAAATATAGGAGGCGCTTAAATTTAGAAACGGCGTGAGCAGAGGGTAATGGCCGTTGGCATTTCTTAGCGCAATCACCAAGTGTGGAGGTTTTAAGTCCATCCTCGGCAACGGCGTTAGAAATGCCTGTTGGTATTTCTTAACACCATCGCTAAGATTGAGTTAACCGCATCGACGCCATCAAGAAATACCAACTATGATAGTTCTTAACGATTACAGAAATATTCGCAAACACATGGATCTATTGTTGTAGCATTTCACCTAAAAGTATTCATGGTATTGTTATTTATATTTTCCCAAAGAAGGGCAAGGTATAAGGGTCTAGCATGAGCATGAACAAGATTACATACTTGCATTAGTAAACCAACAGTTCATGACAGGGGTAAAAATGTTATTTTAAGGATAGTGGATACACATCTGAGCCAACCTCAAGGATAAAGGAGAAAACAAAGAATAAAAGAATGTTTCTACATGGAGCCAGCGTGTTCAAATATAGCCGTGTAAAGAACAGTTAATGATCATACAAGTTATATGATTAGAGTTAAAACTAAGTTTAAGATAGACATGGAGATCCCCGGGCACTAGTCTGCCAGTAAGCCATAGAGACTTTAAGACTCCTACACAGTGCTCGAACGTGGGGGATTATAAAGGATGGACAGGGCTATCATCACCTGCCGCCTACCCCTCAACCGTGGGGCACCGTCATATCTAAAGGTTCCCGTGCACCCCAACACCATGCCCGTATACAAGGAAACTACCCATATCCCCCAGGAATCCGACCCTACGGATCGACAAGCAAGAATATGGGCAAACCAGAAGGAACAACAAACCATCACCTCA